GTCCAGCAGAAAAGTATAAAAACGAAGTACAAGAAGTAAAGCCATGTTGTTATGTTGAGCTGTAGGGGACTCAGGTCAACAATTTCTGACATTGCCAGTCAAGCGGAAGACCCAATTCTATTATGGGCTACTGGACTCTTTTAGAATATTTTGCTGAGTTAACACACCTATAATATTGAAATGACAGAACTAAACAAAAAAGGGGATATGTAAATGAATGTCCATTTTGTATCCGTGTATTCAAAATCAATAGGATAGTTACATAGTTACATTCTCTTAATGAATAGAGGGATTTGTTGCAATAGTGTTTGTAGATAGGATATCATGTCTGCATCTTGTATAGCAAATAACCACTAGGAAGACAGTATGCAGTGTGTTACTTGTTGGAACTGTCTTACCAATTTGATTTGAAACTGTCTCATTGCTATTTGTCTGTCAATAAAATTATGGGAAAAAAAGTACTGTAGTTATAATCTTATGGGCTGATCACAGTTTTGACCCATGTTGTACCCATTGCATTCACAGCAATGCACTTTTGGTACCCTAGTATTGCTCAGGAACTCTCTCCATTGTACTTCAGAATTCATCCTTTTAGGGAACATGAAGTTTGCATATCTGACATCTAGCAGGTTCAGAGTTGCATTATTTCCCCTATATCACAAGGAATATGCTCATGGAGGGAATCAAATCCAAGACATGAAATTTTAGAACTTTTAGGGGTTTTTTCTCTTAGAAAATCACATCACTTTGGCCAGGGAGATAGCTCAGTGGAATGAGTGCCTGCCTGGCAAGCACAAGGTCCTGAGTTTGATCCCATAAAAAAATAAAAATAAAATAAATAAAATGATTACATCATTTATAGAAGTTTCTAACACTCGTTTTAGGGATGAATAATGCCTAATTATTCCTTTTCATACATCTTAATGCTGTCTTAACACAATGACCTTCAGATTGTAATTTTTAATTGTATTTATGTAGTTATAGCAAGAGTATTATTCTTTTAAGCTTATATTCCAACTACTTTTGCTCAAATAACCATATAACACCTCTCAGGAAATGTTCATATAGCAACATCCTGATTTCCTGCAGTTAAAGCAACCGCACTATAGCAGGCTGTAAGTGATGCAGCAGACATCAAAGAAAGCCGAGCTGTCTCAAAGCTAACCAGAAGAAGTTCAAAAGAGGTGCATCGCATCAATCACCCTATCACTCAGAACTTAGACTAAAGAAACTTTGGTTGGTTAGAAATCCAATGGCATAAAAATTCAGTATGTCAGGTAGGGTAATTGAGAGTGACGGAAATCAAGCAGAAAGATTACAAGAATGAAGTGAGCAGAAGGTAGGGAAGGGAAAGGAAGGGCAGATGAAGATAGGATAGCACTGGGAAGAAGAAGGCAGGAGAGGGGTAAAAGAAGGGATATAATACACGTCAATGAGAAAGTTCACACTTGGAGATCATGCTAAATTAACAAGGACATGACTGTGGCTCCCCAGCTTCTCACATTTATATATTGATACTGAAAACAAATGCAATAAAAGATGCATGAGCATAAAGTTGAACTCTAAGCAGATTTCATTCTAGAATTTAACCTTAAAATATTTTTTATAAATCTATAGCTAGTGTACTATAATTTAGGGGGTCTAAAATTTGGTCTGATGTTTACAAAAATCAAATTATTAAAATAAGAGCTTGCCTTTCTTTTACGACATCATCTGAGAATAAGTCACATTTAACAAGTACTTGCAACCAACTTTTAATGATACATATTTTTCAGAAACATATGCTAACCATCAACAACATGATCAGGGTTTCATTGTCCCAGATGTTATTTCATTGGTACATTGTATTGATATTTACAAAGGTTTCAAATTCAACAACACAAAACAAAACAGCTTAATCTTTAAAAACTACAATGCTTTAAAAAATGTAAACAGTTTATTTTTACATTATTGTAAAAAAGAAGACTCACTCCTTAATTAGGCTTATTTTTT